TACTGTAGACAGTGTAGATAGCTGTACATACTGTAGACAGTGTAGATAGCTGTACATACTGTAGACAGTGTAGATAGCTGTACATACTGTAGACAGTGTAGATAGCTGTACATACTGTAAACAGTGTAGATAGCTGTACATACTGTACACAGTGTAGATAGCTGTACCTACTGTAGACAGTATAGATAGCTGTACCTACTTTAGACAGTGTAGATAGCTGTACATACTGTGGAGAGTGTAGATAGCTGTACCTACTTTAGACAGTGTAGATAGCGGTACTTACTGTCGACAGTGTAGATAGCTGTACCTACTGTAGACAGTGTAGATAGCTGTACCTACTGTAGACAGTGTAGATAGCTTTACCTACTCTAAACAGTGTAGATAGCTGTAGATACTGTAGAGGGTGTATATAGCTGTACCTACTGTAGACAGTGTAGATAGTTGTACCTACTGTATCCAGCGTAGATAGCTGTACATACTGTAGACAGGGTAGATAGCTGCACCTACTGTAGACAGTGTAAATAGCTGTACCTACTGTAGACAGTGTAGATAGCGGTACCTACTGTAGACAGTGTTGATATCTGTACCTACTGTAGACAATGTAGATAGCTGTTCCAACTTTAGGCAGTGTAGATAGCTGTACCTACTGTAGACAGTGTAGATAGCTGTACCTACTGTAGATAGTGTAGATAGCTGTATCTACTGTAAACAGTGTAGATAGTTTTACCTACTGTATACAGTGTGGATAGCTGTACCTACTGTAAACAGTGTAGATAGCTGTACCTACTGTAGACAGTGTAGAAAGTTGCACCTACTGTAGACAGTGTAGATAGATGTACCTACTGTGGCCAGTGTGGATAGTTGTACCTACTCTAGAAAGCGTAGATCGGATAGTTGTGCCTACTGCAGACAGTGTAGGTGGTTGTACCTATTATAGACGGTGCAGATGGTTGTACCTACTGTAGACAGTGTAGATAGTTGTTTCTACGGTAGACAATGTAGATGGATGTACCTATTGTAGACATTGTGGATAGATGTACCAACTGCAAAGAAACTAGGTAGCAACTCCATACAGTGATATAATAATATAACCTACATGAAGTATTTTACAGAGTAATTATATGCTCTTCTACTATGCGACATATGCCTCCCATCGAGATTAATGCATGGTTCGCGTACAGGGAAGGTGAAATAGTCGTCTCTGTGTCCTCGACACGAAGTGGAAGAACCCAGTATTAAGTACATTCTTCGACGTGATGGTGTCGGATTCGCTGAGAGAGTAAACCTTTTGTTACCAGGCCTTAAGACGAAGTCCACACCAAGTCAAGTTTTAAGAGGCGAGTTGTTTGAAGTTGCTCCTGAGGCTGAACAGCCTACAGACTTAACTAGAGTAGCTGTTGTTGGAATTGAACGTAAATCATTGCGTTTGGAATTTCCTACGGGGGATATGACTCGACTAACTGAGGAAGACACCAACTTGCTTTTAGCAATTACTTCAGCTGAATTCAGATTCCGAACGTACTTAAATTGGAAACGTATGGAATTTGGAAGACAATTGTCAAAGGGAAGTACTGTTTTCGTTGAAGTGAAAGGCATCTCAAAGTTTTTACCTGGTATTGTCCGGTACAAAGGTGAATTACCGCCTGGTCTGGGAACTTGGTTTGGAGTGGAGCTGATTGTAAGTAGTTGTTCAGTCATTTCTGACCGTTAGGATTTCTGGAGGGTGAATTTAGTGTGTATTTAATTAAGCCTGGGAGAAGGTTGAACGGAATACCTTTCTTCTTCTTTTTAGCTATCTAACCCTTTAGTTAGATACAATGAAATATATGAAGCTCATATATTTTGAACTGCGGTATTAGATACGTATGATGCACGATCCTCGCAGTAGATAGCGCTATTTAAGCAATAGCGAAAATCAGACCTGAAAAAAATCAGGCCTGTACGGGATTCGAACCACTGACCTCTGCGATACTAGTGCAGCGCTCTACCAATTGAGCTAACAAGCCAACTGGGAGCAGGCCGTTAAGTTGATTCGTAATAAACCCGTGAAAGTGATAAATCAGATACAATGAAATATATGAAGTTCATATATTTTGAACTGCGGTATTAGATACGTATGATGCACGATCCTCGCAGTAGATAGCGCTATGGTAAAAATAGAAGACGAAACAAGACCAACCACATTTAGCAGCAGAAGAAAAGACAATAGTCTGTTGATGTAGCGGGAACTCCGGTACATCAGCGACCCCAGAAGCTGTTCAGCTTTAAACATTATCTTGTCTAAATAAAGGTGTTATTATTATTATTATTATTATTATTATTATTACTATTATTATTATTACATGTTAAATTACTTTTGCTAAGTAAACAGACTTGATCGCAAGTGTTATGCAAGACTGTCTCCGTACCATATTCTAATATTTGTAATTTAGAAGTACATCAACCAATAATTAGTGATTTTTCCTGTTGTTGTTCGTGAAATGTGTTGAGATTTAAGGTATATTGATGGACACAGCCACTGCAGGTTAGATATGCTGTTTGGCCATGTTCATATTGCTATTTCTGTTGAAGTTTACAATGATAACATCACATCATCAGACATACCCTTCCTACAACCTCATGACTTTTTAATTACTCCCTAGATTTTTTATCAGATTCCTCTCACCTCCTTCCTTTACAGCCTGGTCCAAATACAGCTTAACTCATAAAAATACTTGGTGATATCACACACCAAAAGGTCTAATAAGGTGGATTTATCTATCAGTTGTACAGTAAAAATGAGGATGTATATACCAGTATGCATTTTATTTTTTTAACTCGGTTTTCATTTTTCTTTAACCTAATTTAATTTATGATCTTCTTCAAAAAAGTCTTTATCAACAGCCTTCTGTTGGCAGATGGATTAGGTATACTAGCATTTTTTAAGCCATTTGATTAAGTTGTGTGAGCTAGCTGCTTGCATATTCATTTGAAATGTTTTGGTAGCCATTTATTTTAAATATCGACCTGTTTTAATGGTATGAGGCATTGGTTGCCTGAAAATTTGAATCAGTTTGAATAGAAAAGCAAGTCAATTAACTAGCAAAGCACTACAGTGTCCATTTCAATGCGTTGGTTTCCACACAGAAAAAGTTGCTCCAACTGTTGAAAACAACATTATCGGATCAACATTGCTCTGCAAAGTCTCTCTTATGTGGTAATCTGCCAGTAAGGATGATGTTATGTTTTGGCTTTTGTTTTGTTTTCTTAACAATTTTTCACCAAAGTGGAGGTGAATAGTGATAGAAATTTACCCTGCTGTTTCGTGGCTTGGCAAATATCCACCACTTTCATCAACACTAAGGTGATAATTGTTTTTCTACATGCCACACGCCTTGTAAAATTATTTTACTTCTGTTAATACACCAACAAGTGGTCCCAATTCAAATTAAATTTTTGATGCATTATTTTGACTCTTCAGCTACTTGGAGGTGAATAGCACTAGCTAATCACTTCTGAACCAGCTAATCAGTGTGCACAGAAAGTGCCATTCACATGTGTGGTATATATTAGTGTTTGTGGCTGACTCAAAAGCTTAATTTGCTCCTTTCAGCCACTTCACACCTCTTATTCATTTGATGTACCTTTGCATGTCTTATTTTTTCTGTTTTTTTTCTTTTTAATTGAGTGAAAATTATATATTAATTAAAATAAGTATAAATATATAACTTAGAATTAGAAATTGAAAAATCATACTTTCTTGATGGCTCCCCATTATAAACTGAGCCAAGTGATTTGTGCTCTAATTATATACTTGAATGGAAGTGATAATGATACATGTAAGGATGAGTATGTTTTTGTAGTCATGATGAAGATGATAGCAATTACACAGATGATCATCATCAGTTAATGATTGGTACATGTGTTTTTACATATTTAGAAAAATCCAGGGTCAGGAACATGTGATGGAAGATTTAGAAGCAAGCGATATTTTACCTGTAGACCAAACTCTGGTGTTTTTGTTGGACTGGACAAATTGTCACCTCGAGAAGATAAAGATGACAAAAAACCTTCAAAAACTACCAAAAAAGATGAAAATAATCTTGAGTCACCTCTTAAGGCTTCAATACTGTCATTTTGCAAGGTGAAACATGAGCTAAGGTCATTTCAAGGAATTGATGTGGTGCTTAAGCCTGATGAAAGAGTTGTGACATTTATAAACAATAGTCCAGCCAGAGGAACTGTGCGATATATTGCTGAGGAGAAAGATTCAACTGGAAATTCTTTCATAATTGTTGGCCTAGAACTGGTAGGTAGTTCAAAGTATTGACTTAATCGTACATGTCTGTGTGCATACAAGATTCAAGTGGAATTGTGTACACAATTGTAGAATTAGAAATGGCAGGTAAATCGCAATTCTTGACTTAATTGTACATGCCGGTTTGGACTTGTAAAGAAAGTTGCAAATACTTAGGTTAACCCTAGTACATCACGTCTTTTGGATTTAATACGATTACTTTGGGAAAGAAACTGCTAGCAAAAGTCTCCCAATGCAGTTGAGGTTGATAATAGAGTTGTGACATAAACTAAGGATAGTCAAGCAAGAGGATTAGTGAGCAATATATTGACGTGGAGAAAGCTTCATTTGGAAATGCTTACATAATTTTAGGAATGTAACTGGTAAGTTTGCTAACATGTTATCCATCTGACTGAAGGACCAGGTGCTAGCACAAATGCTATCCTCACAAAATGTTTTGTTTTTCTGTTGCCTTCCCTCACTTCAAAGTGGGTCAATCGTTTGGGAAAAGAGGAAATAAGAGAAAAGAAAAAAAATTTTTGATCATTGTAGCCTGAGTTTAGTAAATGCCCGGATGTGTTCATTTACTTGACATCTGTTTTTGTATTCAAAATGTCTAGAGTGATAATGTACAAGCTGGAAAATTAAATATAAACGATATCTTGAATCTTGATTTTCTTTTTTCAATAAGGTTAGAATTAAAATTTAGTCAACTATGAAATTATGCTGGTCATTGGAAAAAAAAATGTACCCAAAAAAAAATTTGTTCAAAGGATACGAAAGGAAACATTTCATGAGGATGGCTTATTCAAGGGTTAACAAGATTGTTTGTGGTGCATTTAACTCTTAGTTTATATCTTGGATATAATGTTGTGATGTTTTATCAGAGTCTTTGTTAGGGCCGAGGATGGATCCCTTTTGTTAAAACCGAGTTAAAAAACTAAAATGCATACTGGTATATACATGCTCTTTTTTACTGTACAACTGATAGATAAATCCACCTTATTAGACCTTTTGGTGGGTGGTATCACTATGTATTTTTATGAGTTAAGCTGTATTTGAAGGCTGTAGGGTTCATTTGGCCATCTTTTGACTAAAGCTCCAGGAGAACATTACCACTAGGATTTTGAAGTTTTGGTTTTCAAAGTGGATGAAACCAGATGGGATAGAAAAGGGTTGATACATGATGCATAGCAAGATTTATGATTTCTGAACCAGCATGAGACATGATTTGCCTCCTGAAATATATGTGACTCCTGAATTTTTTTTTTAATTTCCTGGAAACCTCATGGTTTCCCTGAAACCTTGTGTACAAGAATAGACATTTAAGTTTTCCCTTTAAAATTTGTGGATGAAACTAGATCAGGATCATCTCTCTGCTACCCTTCCCACATTGCAGCGCAAAATTATGCGGTGATTTTCGATTCTTCACTGTGTATACTTTCAACTGTCTGTTCTGTTTACTGAGACATTCTAATTTGAGATTTCTGGTAAAAATTAAATCCTAGAACTCAGAAATAAGCCAATTTTTCATGATTTATTATTAAGTTGATTAATAAAAACTATGACCTGAGAACTTCGAAACCACCTTAATAACAAAAAAACCCTTAAAAAAAATGCTAGAAAACAATCTTGTATGTAACCTAAATTAGGCTTTCTCACATTATTTTTTCACTTGAGGAGTTTATAGAGGTGTCACCAAACCATTCTGCCACCCCTACTGAGAAAAAAATTTAATTTTCCTGATGACAATTTTAGTTTTGACACCCGCCCTCCATGCCACTGTGATCAGTAAGCATGGACACAAGACCAGCTGAAGCCAGGGTACTGTCTAGAGGAAGGAGCTAGGTGAGAGGAATCTGATAAAAAATCCAAGGAGTGACTAACAAGTCATGAAGTTGGAGGAAGGGTACATCTAATGATGAGATGTCATCATTGTAAACCTCACCAGAAATAGCAATATGAATTAACATGGCCAAACAGCATATCTAACCTGCAGTGGCTGTGTCCATGGATGTACCTTAAATCTCAACACATTTCATGAACAACAACAGGAAAAATCACCAATTATTGGTTTATGTACTTCTAAATTACAAATATTAGAATATGGTACAGAGACGGTCTTGCATCACACTTGCAATCAAGTCTGTTTACTTTGTAAAAGTAATTTAACATAACTAAGGACCTTCTGCAAAACCAAATTACTGAGTCAAAAGCTTTTACTAGCCACGTATAATTGTGCTTTGATCTTCCCAGCTTAGATCGGTAGGCTGGGGGTGCACCACCTTTCTCAGCCTCGTCCACGTGATAGTCTAGTGACGATAGCTGTTCTTAGATGGAGTTATGATTCCCGGAATTGTTGAAAAAACTTAACGTACCCGATAAAGGGATCGATAATTACCTGCAAAATGATTCGGAATTTAACCAAGTTAGGCCAGCTTCATGTGCATAGAAGTCAAAGGGTCAGGCCACAGATAGACCAGCTAGCTGTGACGGGGAGGGTAATCTTTTGAATATAATATAAATATCTTGTTAGGCGTTTAGTTGAGTAGTATCGCCGAGTATGTTTACGAGTTGTGCCGTATTTTGACGAGCCCGAAGGGCGAGTCAAAATACAGCTAACGAGAAAAAATACTCAGCGATACTACACAACAAAACGTCTGATAAGTTATTTATTATCCAACACGCCAAATTGTGATTTCAGAGCGGGCGCATTTCGCGGATATTTAGTTACGTGGAGTACGTGACAGAAGTATGCGAAGCGGAACGGAATTGGCGCGTTATCGTGTTGCTGTTTCTATTTTCTTCAATACATTAAGGTGGCTCGATAGGCCAAAAAATCATAAAAACTTCATATTTTTGGAAATAAGTTTCTGGGCACCAACAGTCATTGTAGTTTCAAGAAAAGTAAGTCTTTTGTAATTTTTCCCATGGCTATTGTATGTTTTTCAACTGTTTTTGGATCTGTTTGAGCGGTTGCTATGGAAACCAGCATTGTTAACGCGTCGTTTTCCACCAAAAAAAGCCAATGATTTCAAAGAAATCTTCACAGGAGTGACCAGAATAGATTTCAGGGGCCTGGTAAATAGTTAGGCCCTAAATGAGGACATTGTGTGCTGATACATGACGTACTTGGCATGAGAAAAACGTGTTCGCTTGTTTACGATCTATCTACTGAGAGTTGAAGCGAATTATGCCTCCAAAAAGGAAATTTAGGAACGTTAGAAGAAAAAAAAGGAGGTTTACAGGCAACAAGTATACTAAGAAAAGAAATTCTGAAGAAATGGAAGGAACTGATGATCAGGAATCAGTGAAAGAAAGCGAGGAATCAGACATCACCGATATCGAAGATGAAAAGATTCCGAAAAACATCACACGGAATTCTGATCGTACTAAATCGATGCCTGCTACCCTGAGAAAGTTGGACGATAAGTCTAGCGATTCTGGAGACCCTGAAAACGATGAGGAGGAAAAGATGGCAAGTATAGAGGGTTTTCGTTTGATTGATATCTCTGTACTTGCTTCAGTCTTCGAGTCATTTTGGTGTCCGATGTGTAAATATGGCCACGTCACGTTCGAGGAGGATTGCAGCGCCAAGATGGGTTTTGCTACTCTTTTTGTGCTAAAATGCACATCCCAAAAGTGCAAATACTCGAAGAGGTTTTTTTCCTCTGCTAAAATCGAAGGGAGTCAGGCTTATGAAGTCAACCGAAGAGTTGTCCTTGCTACAAGGAACATTGGAATTGGACACCAGAGTCTTGTAAAATTCGCTGCGGTGATGAACATGCTACCGCCCATGAACGAGAACTCTTATCGAGATCATGTTGCCACAATTCGCAATTCTGCGGAGACTGTAGCCAAGGAGAGCATGCAAAATGCAGCTGAAGAGGCAAAAGAATTTTATGAGCCAGGAGAAGATGGGGTCTTTGACATTGGAGTGTCAGGGGATGGAACTTGGAGAAGAAGGGGGTACTCTTCAGCTTATGGGGTCGTCACTGCAATATCCACAGTTACTGGTAAAGTTCTCGATGTGGAAGTAATGTCCAAAGAGTGCAAGGAATGCATGGTTTGGAGAAGCAAAGAAGGAACTGTTGAGTTTCAGGAGTGGTGGGAAGGACACCAGCATCTTTGCCAGGCAAACTATTTTGGTTCTTCGGGGTCGATGGATGCTTCTGGAATGCTTGCCATATTTGAACGGTCTGTTCAAAACTACTCTGTTCGTTATACAGAATTTCTTGGGGATGGAGACAGTAAATCCCACAAACTTATTGTTGAAGAAGCCGTTTATGGGCCTGTTGAAGTAAGAAAATTGGAATGTGTGGGCCATGTCCAGAAACGTTTGGGGTCGCGACTTCGCTCACTGAAGAAGAGAACTGGTCAGACACGTCTTCAAGATGGAAAGTCAATTGGCGGAAGGGGCAGGCTAACAGACAATGTCATTGATAAACTGCAAGTATATTATGGGAAAGCCATTAGGAACAATACTCATGATATCCAAGCTATGGAGAATGCTGTAATGGCAATTTGGCATCATACACAGTCAACTGATGATAGCCCAGATCACGACCTGTGCCCCCCTGGAGAGAGTTCATGGTGTGGCTTTCAAAGGGATGTTGCACAGGGGACCTCTGATTATAGACATAACCATCCCCTTCCAACGGCTGTGGCTAATGCCATCTATCCCACCTTTGAAGCCTTGAGTGAGCAAAGTCTGCTTGCACGCTGTCTACATGGTGGTACGCAAAACCAAAATGAGGCCATCAATGCCCTTATCTGGCAGCGTGCTACAAAGGAAACCCACTCTGGGCTAGCAGTGGTGGAACTTGCTACCTTCTTGGCAGTCTCACATTTTAACAATGGCACTATTTCTATCATTTTAGTTCTTCGAAACCTGGGAATTGACCCAGGATTTCATTGCATCAAAGCTTGCCGAAAGCAAGATCATAATCGAATTCGCCATTCTCGCCGTAAAAGCTCTGAGCAAGCCAAAAAAAGGAGAAAACAGATCAGAAACTTCAAAAAAGGTTACAGTGACACTTTAGAGGCAATAGAAGGACAACAGTATGGTGCTGGTGCCTTCTAACATTGTTTTCAACTCTTGACTGCTTGCCCAATGATCTTGTGAACTTTATTTGCTATTTTCTAATTTTCCGTATTTCAGAGGTTTTGAAACCTTGTGACAATAATATCTCAAAAAATATTTACGATAAGTAGATCAAATTTTCACAGCATCTCAAGTGTCAATAGCTGTGTGCAATGACCTATTTTTATAGTGTTTGGACTTCTCACTCATGGGTTATGCCTTGTAAATTGAAGTGTAGTCAGGGTTATTTTTTGGTCTTTCTTTGTTGAGAGCTAATTCATGAATGCAACATAGTACTTACCTCAAAGTAGGTCATTGCACAGCTGTGATACAGTACAACAAGCACCTGAAGTTTTAGCTCTATAGCATAAAGCAGAGTAGAGATATCTTTGCCAAAAAACATACCTATTTTTGTCTCTCGGAATTGGGTGTGGCTAGAATAAATGGTGTGGCTCCTCTGAATTTTATGGAATGCTCTCCTAACTTAGTGGAAAGTAATGGGTAAGACCTATTTAAGTTTGTGGCACAAGTATAATGATATGATTTAAAGTTTAAGTGTTGGTAAAATTGTTGCCAAAATGAGCATTTTTAGACTATCGAGCCACCTTAAGAAACTTCCTGATGTCTAGCAGTTTTTCTTCGCTCGATTCATATAGTAAACTTGGATTTATATTTACCATCCATTCCGACTCTTCGTCGTCAGAAATATGATTTAAACTGTCCACCATTTTCTTTTTCGTAAGTTCAATCCAATTCTTCGCTTGCGCGATGCGAGAAAACCTGTCTCATCGGTTCTCTGGAGTAAAAATACCGCGTGATATTTGTACTCGTGTATGGTGTTATCTGTACTTTACGTAGTGTAGTTATATAATAAAAAGGAATATGTGACTTTTGGGGATACAGGCTGGGCGATAGAGTTTAGGCTAGTTATAAAAGAACGCCCAGACTTTAAACTTGGAATTGGCAATGTGGTGTGTTAAAAGTAAGCGTGTTTGTCTGTCACATCAAGGATGAAAGACTGGGATCTGGTTGTGGTAAAAGATTTGGCATTCAAAAGTTTGTTGCCAAGAGAGATCATGCAATATTTGTGCCATTGGAAACTGCCATACCAGAGGTGGACTTTGATGAGTACCCTAAACAAGCTGCAGGGCAAGAAAGCTCACCCGTAACGTCATCTGAGAGAAAAAGAGAACAAGTTAAGGGTCTAGAAAGATGTCTGAGAGAAAAGGAGCAGCAAGTGGCTCATTTCCAAGCACAACTGAGAGAAAAAGAACAAGAAGAAGGAAATATACGGAGCCAATTGTATGAAAAGGAGCATCAACTGACATACGTCCAAGGGCAGCTTCAAGAGAAGCATAAACAGTTGTTGAACTCGGAGTTACAAATAACGGAGATGGAAGAACAGATGACAAACATACGAGAACAGGTACGAGAGAAAGATGGACAAGTAAGAGCGATGACGGAGAATTTACGAGAGAAGGATGAACAGCTAGTGAATTCAGAAGGACAAGTGAGAGAAGTGACACAACAGTTGGTAAATGTCCAGGCACAAATACAAGAAAAAAATGAAGAAACGGCCACTGATTTACTGGCTCAAACTGCGGCTCTACAACGACAGCTGGGAGTAAAAGATCAGGAATTAAATGAAATACAGCAAACTCTCTTAACAGCGCAACGAGCGTTAAATGAACGTCAGCAGTCACCTGACTGGGTCATTTCCAGAGATCAAATTCAACTGACGGACAAAATTCTTGGTCAAGGAGGCTGGGGGGTTGTTGTCAAAGGCAAGTATTGTGGATGTGCCATAGCTGTGAAACAAATCCACCAACTGATTCTCTCTCCACACAATCTGAGACTGTTTGAACGAGAAATGGACATTGCTTCAAGATGTCGCCACCCTTGTTTTCTGCAGTTCATTGGAGCAACAAACGACGAAGGAAGTCCATTGTTTGTAACAGAGCTCATGGAACGAAGCCTACGAGCATTGCTTGGGCAGCGATCTCTCTCTGAGTCAGAAATCTCAGTTATTTCCCTGGATGTCGCTCGAGCACTAAGCTACCTGCACCAAAAACAACCCTCCCCGATTATTCACCGCGACGTAAGCAGTGCAAATGTGTTGCTCTGGCGGTAGGGTGACCAGTGGCGAGCCAAGGTATCAGATTATGGTACCGCTAATTTCAGGCAGTATACCATGACAGTTGCACCTGGAAATGTGATTTACAGTGCCCCTGAAGCCCTTACTAAGAAACAAACAGTCAAGGTAAAAAGTTATTTA